AACTGTTCATGTCCTTTGCTAGCAAGACTAAGGCTCTTTAGTTCCTCCATAAGAGAGCTTCTCGGCAGATATAAGATCTTTTGAGACCACGTTGATCCTTACCAAGCCCAGTCAGCTCCCTTCCACCTGGGTGATGTCATCTGTCCTATGCAGAATTGCCTGGAGGGAGCTTTTACTCTCCCTGTGGGAGCTAAATGGACTCTCAGAGGCAAATGATACTTAATTGATCTTCACTTCTTTCCAGCACTTTACAAGTTTGATATTTTCTAGTAGAATGACTTAATATAGTTTTAAAATATCCTCCTTTTAGCTATTTGTGTCCTTTTAGGAGGTGTTAAATGTGGAAGCAATTATCCTCCTCATGACAGGATTTTTTTTCTTGGCTCAGTAAAGCTTTGTGCTTTGTGACACCTGATGTGTAGGTAAGGAATTGGGCTTATTTTGTAATAACTCACAGTGAGTTTCTCTCCCTTGGAGAGCTAAAAGGTAGACGTATGCTTCTCAGAGAGATAAACCACACTCTGTTAAGTACGTAGGAGGATACTAAGAGCTAGAAAACATTATGTTCCAGCAAAGAAAAATGTGAGAAATCTTCCCTTTGCATTACTCTATAATCATAATGGAAAAGAGAAAAAAAGCTGATTAAGTGGTTTCATGGGAAGTAACCTAGAAAAGGGCAGTCTTCTTGGTTGAATTACTTCATGTTAGCCTAACTTTGAATCCTTTTTGGAGTGTGTGAGGCATCATATTTTTAGTTGACGGCCGTATGAATTTGAAAGCCTCAGGTTCTTACCAGTGCTCCAAAAGCTGGGGTACTGCCAACAGAGGAGATGAAAAAAGCTCTCTGATTTCATCCAGTCTGTCTAGTGTGTGCCAAGGAAAAAGCTCTTTAAACATTCAGAAAGAATTCGTTTTTGTTGTTGTTGTTCGTGAAATGATGAGAATACCAGAGTCAATGGTTTGTACTATGCCAAATCTGTGGCGATCATTAATCGTCTTTGGAAACATGAGACGTTCTCTTCTGTGGGAAACTGATGTGCAAACACATTAAAAATACAACTGATTTCTCTACCTTCAGATGAGTGAGAAGGTAAATGATTTCAAAGGGCTGATCAGGACTGACACTCTCCTGAACTCAACTCTCTCCTCAGGGCTGGCAGTGAATGAGATGGCAAAGGAGGAGTTTTCAGGACCCAGTGAGCCTCTGGGGAACATTTGCAGGTGGTTAGAGTCTGCAGGACAAAGTCAGTCATGGCAAAAATCATGATAATGCTTTTATAGAGGATTTCCTGTATGGCAGCCATTCTAAGGCCTTCATGTACATTATCTTAGATATGTACTAAGTCCAGGAAACTGGTTTGATGTTCTCTCCATTTTACAGAGAGAAAAATCAAGGTAGAAAGAGGGCAAGTCATTTTCCTAAGCGAATAGTGTTTATAAAAGATTAGGGAGACAAAAAAGGCACCAGATTTGAAGTTAGGGAAATATGAGTCCCAAAACTGTGGATTCAGTTACCATGCAATGCTACGTTCAGAAATCATGTTAGGAGAAAGATCACTAGAGAAGCCTAGATTTGTCTGATTTATATAGCTGCTGGCGATCAAGACCAGATGAATTTGAAAACATGGAACAGGTTGACTTTACCTTTGGTTCTCTTTTAGCTTTTTATACCCTTCAGCAGTTTCTGCTACTTGTTTTAGCTGCTCTCCCAACTGCAAATCCATGTTTTATTTCTTCAGGGTTTTGTTTTCTAGGAGGGATTACTGTGGAAGGTAGATTGCATTAGTTTAAAAAAATCTAGAGGTAATCTTCTCTTTATTATGAAACATTTAATGAATAAAAGATGCATAAGGGCCATTTCTGAAAGCAGGGCTTCAATCTGCATTTCAGAAAGAGAGCGATGGTATTTTCTGGCTGGAATCTCTCTTTGTTTTTTGTTTTTTTGTTTTTTTTTTTTTTTGGTTTTTGGTTTTTCTCCAGTACCGGGAACCGAACTCACGACCTTGCGCTTGCCATGGAATCTCTCTTTGAGGCCCTCAAAGAACACTGTGAAATGAGAAGTGGCAAACTTCTTGTCTCCTAGAAAGGCCTCTTACAGTACAGAAATGGAGGAAGCGAATTAAAGGAAGGAGAAAACACTGCACAGATGGAGAGTGATCTAAAAAGGGGGCAGAAAAGCATGGAATCTCATAACGCAGTGCTGAATTTAGACTCCACCTCCTCCAGCCTGGCCATATGACTATGGGCAGACAAATTAAAAAAAAAACACCTGCATAAAAATACCTACTTTCTACATGTCTGGGGATTAAATAAGAGAAAGACTGAAAAAGGCAGCAACCAAAGGCTACCCATGGACAGGAGGCTCTCAGGCAATGTTGATACTTCCTCCCCTTGCCCTGCCACAATATATGGGAGAGGTGGAGGAGACCCGGAAGTGAAAAAGTGAAAATTGATGTAGGCGAACTGTCTGGGAGAGAAAGACACTAAGTTGTGAGGTTCTTATTCCCTGGAATGAATCAATCTTGCTGTACTTGTTCATTTAACATCTACCTATGTATTGCTTCTGTAATTTTGAGGGGTTTGAGACTTAGACTCACTACATTTAAATGCTGATTTTTGTAAGACCATGTCTTTGTGCATTGAGAATCTGATAAATTTGGCCAACTGAAGGCTTTAAAGCATTGCTGGCATCTTTCTCTTGATTCTTCTCACATTACAGCTCCCAATGAGAACTTCAGAAAGTTAAACAATTATCATTGGCTCTGACGCCACCTTATCCTGGAACACATTGCACAAGGCATTTCATTTAATTAGAAAATATTTAATCAGCAGATCTTCCAGTAACCCTTGGCTATTGCTGTCTCTGGTAGGTGCACATATGTAGCTTTGAAAACATCAAAGTACTGCATACTCATTAATTAACTAGTTCTAAACCTGCCTAGCTCCTGAATGAACTATAGTCATTAAAACCGCATAGGTGATATAAACCATTGGATGTTTTAAAATTTATTTTGTATTAGTCCGTATTTGCAGTACCTGTTTACATTCCTTGCATGAAGTTGGTACGTGTGTATAATACATCTTAATTTCTTTTTTTATTCCCCCTCCCTTTCTTCCTTTCTCATTCCCTTCATCTCTTGATTCCCTTTCTATTTGAAAAAGATCTCCCTACCTCCTGTTTCTCTTTTATTTTCTGCTTTATTTATATTTTGAGTTTCTTGTATAAGAGAAACCATGCAGTATTTAAGCTGATTTTTAAGAGGTTCCTTGGATGTTAATTAAGGATTGTGGGTTATATTCTTGTGCTTTGACCAAAAACATGTATATATGAACTTGATGTGATGCCTGACACTTTTGGCCCTTAATTTTTAGACTAAGTAGGCCAAGATGGATAGATATTTGTTAGAACGAACTTGCAGACTGAAATGAGGTGGCCTTAGTGATCCTGCTGTGGAACTTCACTATCGAGGTTTGCCAAGTGCTCCCCGAATGTTCACTATCCTCACCAACCTATGTATACTAATAAGATTATAATAATGTTCACTCCTACATCTTCCTAGATTTCTTGCCATTAAATTGCTAGATGTATCCAGCCAAGCTTTTCCACCTCTGACAGCCTCAAAGGGCCATCCTGAGCATGCTCAGGAAGAAGTGGGAACCTAATGGGGACAGTTCTGCCTCCCCGCTCTGCCCGTCTTTTGCTAGGTCAGTTGTCACTTCTTGGGGAAAATGCTGCTTTGCCTGGAGTATTACATCCTTGGATTTGCCAGTGTGTCATTTGGTGCTGTGTTCTCTTCAGCCTCCACTAAACCCCTGGAGCTGGGTGTGTTCTATACGGAAAGAGAGAGGAACCCTGCCTTGTCTAACTCTGTCCCCCACCACACTGGGCTAGCACTGCTTATGCACAAGGAAGCAGCTTCTTCAGATTATGCTTATCACCATTCACTTTGTCACCTTATGAGGCCACAGCTGAGAGGTGACAGCTGGGACAGAAGGTGAGGTGTCTCACCTCCTCTATTGTTTTCAATTCCCTACCAGGAGCCCATGAGCCAACTTCTGCCCCAGAGCCAAGGTCTTCTCCTTCAGCCCCAAAACAAACGTCCTTAGGGATATCAACTTAGGCAGATCTGTGCCTGTGAGTCACCAGCCTTCTCTTCCCTGTCTGTAATTATATAGGTTCAGCTAGTCTCATACCATTACGCATTCGTGAAGTTGTCTAGTTTCACTGAGGTCATAGCCACAAGGGCACTGAGACATCAAGAGGGCCTAGTGGTGACAGAAGGCATTGGCCACTGTAGGTGACAAACATGAAGACTGCTGGAATAAAGGGATCACAGCATAAAGAACTGATTTTGAGGAGCGTTTAAACTCATTTCTACATGATTTGCAGCTGACTGAGATGTAACTCAAGGTATAGGTTAACCTGGCTGAGAGGACGCCCCTGTGTGTGACTGAGAGGGAACTGTTTGTTTCTGTGGCCTGCCACACAACGTGGCAGTTCATTCCTGGGCCTTCAGTTTTCTTAAATAAGAGAGGGCAAGGACTCATGTAAAGACAGATTTTCTAGTCAGAAGGAACAACTAGGCATCATGGTGCACATCTGCAATCCCAGCACTCTGAGAGGTTGGGGTAGGAGGATCACAAGTTTGAGCCCAGCCTGGGCAATTTAGCAACTTCGTAAGACTCTGTCTCAAAATTTAAAGAATACATAAAAATTAAAAGGGCCTGGGAATGTAGCTCAGTACAAAGGCCCTGGGTTCAATCCCAGTACCTCAAACAGCAAAAGCAAAACAGATATAAGGAAAGATGTACCATCCTCCTCACTCAGACTTCAGGGAAGAAAGGAAGACAGCAAGCATGGGCAGAGACATGGTCCTTTGCATTAACATGGTCCTTTGCATTAGCATGCTTTGATGGTCAGAATCCTCAGTGCAAGATATCAGTAGGAAGAGACTGTTTTGCTTATGACCCATCCTTTTCTACCTTTCTGTTTAACACAGAACCTCCAGTCATTCATTCTGGTATCAAAGACCTCAAAGTTTTGAAAACAACGCAGTCTGGATTCGAGGGATTCATCAAGGACCAGTTTACCACCCTCCCCGAAGTGAAGGACCGGTGTTTTGCTACCCAAGTGTACTGCAAGTGGCACTATCACCCTGGAAGAGATGTGGATTTTGAAACTACTTGGTACAATAAGTGCTAGGACTTGGCACTGGGATGGGGGAGTGTTCAGCTTATTACCAGCGTCCCAGAGTTTACAGCATGTTAGATGCAAATGGCAAATGTAGAACTCACTCAATTCTATCTCACTGGTCAGAAATTCCTCTTGTATTTTACCTTATTAAATCAATGGTTCTCAAACATGAATACATGTCAGAATGATCTAGGGGCTTGTTAAGATATAGATCACTAAGCCACCTCCAGAGTCTGATTCTGTGGGTGAACGGGGCCTGATAATTTGCATTTGTAACCAGCTCCCAAATGCTGCTACTGCAAGACTTCAAGGAGACTTTAAGAAGCACTGGTAAGATGAAGTGAATATCTAGCTTTAGTACCTCAAAATGAGATAGAGATGCAGATTTTTTCCACTGGAATAGATTTTCTCCATTCTTTTTGCTACATGATAGGTTTTTAAGTGCTTGGGGAGAATCTCACCTGAGTCCTCTTTTTCCTTTTTTATTTCAAGTTCTCTCCCTGGGCAGCAGGCATCTCCTGTACTTATGTTGAAGAGAGCACGAAGTTAAACATGCCAGAGTGAGGATAGTGCTCCCCACCTCCCACCAAGGACAGCAACTCAGGAGATCATGTATCTTGGAAGCTCAGATTCCTTCAACTCTACACTGGGGATATTAAGATAGTCCTCATTTCAGCTGTGTTGAGAATGCAATGACACAATCACAATAAAATGCTTAGTACAGAGCATGGGCATGGAGTAAAATCCCTGAGGTAACAGTTAAGAAACCAGCAAACACAATCGTAAGAGGGCTAGAGTTTTGGGATTCCTTTTCATAGGTTTCTCAGATGTGGGACATTTGCCTTGAGATGTCCATTGGGCACCAGGACTCACCTATGCAGATGGGCTAGTGATGTTCAATGGTTGTCGGGTGTGTGTGTGCGTGTGCGTGTGCATATGGGTGCATGTGTGTAGAGGAATGAGAAGTGAGTTTTGTTTCTGTTCTTTTTTTTACATTATAGGATAATAACCTCTTCTAAAATAATCAATAAATTTTTTCTGGGGAGCAGAAATGTCACTACATCTTAGCTTTATAATGCATAACTGAAATACCACTTCATGTGAATTTTAGCCTTCTTCTCTCTGCTTTAGGCACACTGTTCGAGATATTATCCTGGAAAAATTTGCTGGGCCCTATGACAAAGGCGAGTACTCGCCCTCTGTCCAGAAGACCCTCTATGACACACAGGTGCTCTCCCTGAGGCGGGTTCCTGAGGTATGTTTAGGTACTTGGCATTCTGAAGATTGAGAGAACTTGTGTCTCCTATCAGCTCTGAGAAAAAGTTGAGAGTTAAAATAAGAAAGTGGAAGACACACGAAAAATGACATCTGTTGTTGTTCAAAAGCTTGTTATAGCAAGTGAGAAGAGAGCAAAAATGGAAAAAAATCTGTCCAACCTAAAAACACAGGCCACTGTTACAGATCTTTAGTTTTGTTGAAAATTCTTTGAGTCCCTTCCACCTGTCTCTGATTTAAAACTCATATTCAGGACATTTCAGTGCCTTGTTGGAGAGGTAATTAAGTAGAGGTTCTACATTTCATGGGATCCAGGGGAAAAAAGATAGATTCATTCTCTCCATCTGTCTGTTCATTCATCAATTTATTTAGTATTATAGGTTGTTTTATTTCTGATGGTAGACAAGGGATGCAAAGATAAATTAGAAGTAGTCCTCTCAAAGAGCTCTCAAAGAGCTTATCAATCAGCAGGCAAAAAATGAACAAACAAGAAACCAAATAAACAATGCAACAGATAATAGATGATTACGGAAATATAGAGAAAGTGTCTAAAGCAGGTACAGGGAATAGGGCCAGCCACATTTTCTGGAGGAAGAAGGTGAGTGTGTGTGTGCTTGTGTGCATGTGTGTTAAGACTTTATAGACCAGTAAAGGTAATGTGGGCTTATACTCAAGGGAGATGGATCACATTTGGAATGAAGACAGAGGGCAGCATCATATAGTCACTTACTGTTAAGAACCAATCGTATGTGAAGCTCTAGGAGAGAAAGTCTGTCCATGCTCCTAGACATGAGGTCAAAGCCAGTCAAGAGGGCCTTTTTAAGTTACTTGCAGAATCTGTACTTTATCTTGCTCTTAGGAAGCACTCTTAGTGGCTCTTAGGAACTACTGAAGAGTATAAGTAGGCTGTGCCATAGCATAATTTGTCCTCTAGAAAGATCACTATGGTGACAGTGTGAAAGGATGATGAACCACAGACCAAGATATTTGATGGTATGCTATTGCAGAAATTTGGCAAGGAAACTCTAGGCCCAGGTCATGATGAGAATAGAGAGATGTGCTGCTCTTAGACCTGGACAAGATCCAGCACTTTAGAGGTCCCCTTCTGCCCTTCCTTTGGCTTTACCTCCTCACACTGAATGAATTATTAGAGCCAAGGCAACTCACTGGTCAGTGGCTCATGAATTCCCCAGAATTTCCTGCCCAAGTATCCCTGAGAATGCGTCCAGAACCTGGGCAGACCTCTTCTAGAGATCTGTCCTCCAGAGGGCAGATCATGCTATTTGTATTCACAGCCTTAGGCCTAATAGTGGACAAAGCAGCAGATTTTTGCAGGAGCAATTTGACATGCAAGCTAGCATGTTTATCTATAGGAATCTAAGAGAGGAGATGGGATAGGCTGGGGACTGTAAGCTGACTCTTCCTATGTTGCCATGGGAACACCAAGAGTCAGGAAAATAATTTAAACTGGGCCTTCCAGGTTCTGATGAAGGTAAAATTGTTGAACTAGAAGAAAAGAAAGTTTTTTTTAAAAGCTTGACTTATAGCTCTTAAGTCTTTAGAGATCTGCTACATGGATCTCCAACTATACTCTTACTCCAGGACATATAAATGCTGGGGACAGGCCCAGAGAGAAGGAACAGAATGAGAAAGAATTTAGAATATTGTGTGGCCAGTTCCTGGAAGCCAGTAGGATGTCAAAGAGGTCTCCCAGGTTATGGACTCAAAAAGCCCTTACTTTTCTGAAACGTAGGTTTTCTTCACTGAGGGGAGAGGAGTGGGCCTACCATCTGATAATAGGACCAGCTGGACAGAAAATGTTGGGAAGCAGAGGAACATCAAACAGTGCCTCAAAGACAGAGCTGGAATCCGTTCCAGAGGGTGGGTGGGTAGAAGTGAGAATGTTGGACTGACAGAGACAGATTCACTGTTGCCCAAGGTGATGCATACTCTTGCGGATTCCAGATAGAAGACATGGAAATCAGCCTGCCAAACATTCACTACTTCAACATAGACATGTCCAAAATGGGACTGATCAACAAAGAAGAGGTAAGACAACTTTAAAATATCCCGAGCACACCTCTGCTCCAGCCTCCTTGTGCCTTTTTGTAAACTTGGGAATATAATGTCACTGACTAAAACTCTTAACAGCTACTGCTTTGGGGAATGTCATAGTTACACTGATTGGAGGTGTTTCAGTGCCTGAGGCTGGAATACCTTCGAAGTGGATGAATGATTAGAGATGAGGATTGGAAGCTGCAGAGAGGAAAGGACAAAAGAGGAACAGAGTGTGCCCAAGGAAACAACTCTGAGTTCTACTTCTTGGAAAAGTGCCCCACAAGGTCACAGCTTCCTTATTCTAACATGAGGCAGTGAAGAGAGAAGAAAAGATTCTATTTTCATTTCTATTTCATTTCTATTTCTATCATTCCTATCTTTTGACTAAGTAGTCAGTTCAGTAGCATACAATGCACACAGGCAAGTTGAAAGAGTGTCTTTGTTTCTAATTGCAAATATATAAGGCAAGATGAGGAAATTCATTTTTTGAAAGAAAACATTTGTGTTAGAAAATACACTGGCCCTGACTTATTTTTAGCTGTAGCAGAATGTTAAACCACTGTGTGTCTGACCAGGCAGCCTGAAGTCCTGACTGGTGTGGTCAGCTCTTGGGAGATCAGAACTGTCCCTTCCCCGTACTTTCAAAAGAGTAGGATTTCTCCATTTGATCCATCTGAAAACAAGAATTGGGTAACTTCTTTTAGTATGTGTTAAGCAGTGAGATATGGAAAGGGCTATCTATTGGGATGGTTCTGCTGCTACAAAATCACATTCTTTGGTGGGTGAATGCCAATAAAGGAATTTGCAGAAGGTCTTATGTTCTTGACCAGCTGACCCATGAGCCTTACAAACTTTGGGCCAAATACCTTGTTTCTGTTCTGAAAATATTGTTGGTGGACACCACTTGTCTTTGTACCACCATCAGTTGCAGGTGAACATGAGCAGGTGACATTGTAAAACAAAGGTTATGCTTTTCTGGTAGAGTTGACCTGAGCTCCGAGTTGCAGAAGGGGACACACTGTGTCCAAGGCATTTTTCATTCATCTGAAAGGACAGGCAGTACTACCTCGGAGCATGGAAAGGATGGTAGTGTCCAGAGTTTCATTAATTAGGCTATATAAAGCCTTTTTGCAATGATTGTCTGCTAAAGAACAAGACAGATACCTGAAAATAATCCTAGCCATGTCCACTGGAGGCAGGACAAATGAGCCCTAAGAAGAATCAGGATCAGGTGTCATAACTAGACAGTGTTTAGCTCAGGACCCCAGAAAGAAAGAAGAGGATATCCTTGGGGCCCCTTGAGCCTCAGGATTACACTGATCTTTTCAAGGGCTCGCCTATGGGCTGAGACCGTGTCCCTTCCTCTAAGGTGCGGAACTCACAGCTCCCTCCTAAATCCTTGCTGGGGTCCTGGAGGCAGGAAACCCTGGATTCCTTTGGATCAGGGCTCTGCATAAAGGCCCCCAAGTGGCTGAACATGCTGTTCCTATACCTTGGGGTTGCCTGGAACCCTCACCCAGGTGTGCACAAAGTGAAATCAACCTATGAGAAAGTAGAGATACACTAACAACAGCAGCAAAGAAGTGACAAATGACAGGGTGGGAACACAGAAGAACTCTAAAAGCCCAGCTGTCTGGAGCCATTTAGTGTTGTGCTAACAGCCATGTGGACCTCAGATGCTCCAAGGGCATGACTGGACGATGATTGATGTCCAAAATGAGTCAAACAGAAAAGGTCAAATTGTACTCACTACACTCAGTTTTAAAAGCAGGGATACACAATGCGTTTTAGAAACATTTATATCCCATTCATTCAACTTTTACAAAACTTTTTAATTTTCTGGATAATCAATGCATCTCTCAGCTATTGCCAGAAAAACAAAGCATTAACATAATTGGAGTAACTTTATGGTAGGGCATATACATTTTGCTGCTTAACGAACTATTTTCACTGTTGTTTTAATACTGATTCATAGGAAGGAGAGGATTGTTTTAACATCTCTAAAATTTCCCTGTGCTTTTTCTGCAGGTCTTGCTGCCATTAGACAATCCATATGGCAAAATTACTGGTACAGTCAAGAGGAAGCTGTCTTCAAAGCTGTGACACTGTGACCCCCGATAGTAGTCCACTGTAGCTGAGGGATTCTTTAAGTTATTTGTGATGCTGGAAATTATAATGTATATGCAAATTTTCAGCCCAGTATATTAATTTACAGTTTACACTTTCCTCTTCTATAAAATAATTTATTTCTTTATTCCTAACTCAGCAAAAGACATCATGTGGGTTATCTCATTAGCAAGTATAATATGTTTTGTGAATATAGTTTACTTTAAAAATGCTGAATAATATTAGAACAATCATAAATCAACATCTCTTTTTGGTGGTTTTGTGCATTCTTATGTTAGAGAAGATACAGAATCAATTTATTAAGAAAATGATCATGAATTAATGGAGGTGTCACATCAATTAATTTGGGCACAAATATGAAAAGCCATTATTGTTTTAATCTTACTGATGCTTCTAGGTAATGCAGAAAATGTAATAAAACTACTGCAAAATTTTATCATTGTTATTTCAGTTGCTTGAATATTTGAATTTTTTAAAAATTCTGTAGCACATGTATCATTGGTAGTTTATTTGTAGTCTGATAGCACTATTATGATTTTATGGATTGATTTTTATGGCTTTACAACACTGAGAGAACATTTAATACACATTGGGGTGTTCACATCAGTGTAAATTGTTTTTCTTTAAATAATGCATGCTCTTGGCACAAAGAACTACATTTAATACAAATGAAGTCAATATTCAGATGGATGAATATGCATATAAAAACAGAATATATACATGAAAATATTAGCAATGGTGATTTCTGAATAACAAGATATGAGTAATTTTTCACCACATACTTTCAGAGTCTTCTAGGTATGAACATTTATTGCTTTCAAGATCAGAGAAATATTTGCATTAATTATTTTCTCATCATTGAGGCAAATACCTCACACCCACAACTCTAAGGAGGAAAGGTTTATTTTGACTCACAGTCTGCAGAGACTTCAGTCCATAGTTGGCTTCCTCCATGGCAGGGAAGCATGGCAGAGGAGAAAATCCATGGCATGGTAGGCAGGAAGTAGAGAGGGACTGAGGGAGGAAGAGGAGGAATATGGACCCTTGGACATCACATCACAGTGACCCACCTCTTCCTACCAGACTTCACCTTCCAATACCATACCCAGCTATAAACCCATCAGTGGACCCATCCAGTGATGAGTGCCACACACCCATGATCTCATTACCTCCCAAAAGCCTCACCTGTGAGCAGATGAGTCTTTGGGGGAACATTAGATATAAACCATAACACTACTGTATATATTCTGCAAAGATTCACAAGTTATAATTTCCAAAATCCATGGTTAAAACCTATTAATCTGAACATTCTATATAATTTTCCTTTTAATTAAAAAAATAAAATCTCCATTACCTTAGAAATGCTTACACTTGAGCTCCCAGTATTGTTCAATAATTTTACTTTATTCATCATTATACTACTACAACCTAAAGTAGTAGAATTGTATTACTAACATTGACACCAATATGTGAGATACCTAAGCCAATTAACTTAAAAAGAGAAAAGATTTATTTTAGCTCATGGTTCTAGAAGTTCCCATCCATGTTCAGGTGGTCCTTTTGCCTTGGGTCTCTTGCAAAAGTGGTACATTACAGTGGGAGCAAATAGAGGAGCCAGTTCTCTTGTATCACAACCACGAAGCAAAGAGGAACACAGGAAGGTCCCACAATCCCCTTCGAGAGCATACCCTAATAACCTGAGCACCCCCTACAAGTCTCTACTGCTTCCCCATAACAGCACTCTGGAGATGTAGCATTTAGCTTGTGATATCTGGGGACACTTATCTAAATGATAGCAATGGTGTGAACTGAAACTCACCTAAATCCTGGTGCCACCTTTTACTACATATGTGATAAGTTTCCTTTTCTAAAAAATGGAAGTGGAAGTAGAACCTACTGTATTGGTATTTGTGAACTGAATGGCTTAAAGTTTGTAAGAGTTATGGTAGTTTTCATGCCTGATAGATAGCATTTCTAGGCAAATGTTGACCAAATGTAATAAGCAGCCTGCCTTCTTTTCATTGTTACCAGTCTATTAGATGACTAGGTGACAAGACCCATCATTGGCTTGTGTGAGTCGGGTGACAGAGGGAGATCTTGAGCACTACCAAACCCTACAAGATACTGGAGGCCATTCACAAGCTAGTGATTACTTAGAAAGAACATAGGGTAAGAAAAAGGAAATAATCTGACAAGGAAGGTTTTATGCTAGATTGAATACTCATGCTATAATATGTGCTTCTACATCATGTAAATTGCAATGCCAAATGGCTGGTACATTCTATTCCCCTGTTAATTTGATAATTCTGTTCCAAGAGGAGAGTTTAACATGAATCCCTAAAAAAAAAATAAAAAAAAAACATAAACAAGAAAAAAAACTTAATTAGGCCTTTCTTACCTGTTGTTCTCTTAGTTGTGTAAATTTTAGATACTTTTTATTTGAAGAAAAAAGTCTATGTTATAACATAAGCCTTAGATAGAAATTGTGGCCCATTTTATACATGTGCACATTTTGCTTCTTTTGACTCTTAAGATATTCACTGCAATGGACTGCAAATAAGCTATTGGATGTTACATTCCAGATGCATGTTGGGAAAGCTGTAGTCTATCCAACTGTCAAGGAACAGGTTCCTATTTTGTGAAGGATGTTTCCTTGGGGTCAGAATTGGTTACACCTCCTTCTGTTGGCTCTGGCAGAAGGATGATCTCACAATACTCTCCCTCTTCTTTCTCCCTGTCCTTCCCCTAACCCTATGCCTAATACTTTCATGAAAGGGTAATGCAGGTGACTCCAACGCCATGAGCTGTATGGAAAAGGCAGTTTGTATAGTATTCTATGAAGCAGGCTATCATTTGGGACTTGTAATTTCATCCATCAAGATTCTGCCAAAGGCTTGTTTCACATCTTGCAAATCTCATCATATAACCTTTCATAGTGACAGATTCAGAAACTATGCCCCCTTTCCTTTTAGAGCTGGACACTTAAGTCCATCCTACTCTTTATTTTTTGAAATTGCTTTTCCTCTCTTTTTAAACATTCACATAACAGAAAGAAATCTTTTAAGGTAGCATTTTACTTATTTGTCATTGAAACAGAATTTATCTTTTTCAATCCCCTGCAGGTTTTCACTGCAGAAACTTGAACTTTTTTCTAACCTTTCTATGCTTTGTCCAGAAAGAACATTTTCTTTCCTTTGGACTCTGAGCTGTATGGAATTTGCCTGTATAGTCACCTTTGTAAAACCTTTGTAAATTTTGTCTCCATACCTGCACATAGGAGGAAACCAAAGCTTGTTTTCAAAGGCATGGATTTCAAGCCTCCTAACCAGGCACCCATTCTGCTTGCATAGGCCTCAGACTCAATCTGTTGTATTCATAGTCTTTATTCTCATCTCTTTTAGAGCCCAGTAACATCATATTCTTCCCTTTGTCTAGACTTCATCTCAGAAATCTCGAAGGTTTTTGGAGGCTATGGAAACATTACTGAGAATATAGTGGCTATGGATCTTTTTCCCCCAAAAATCCTCATTCATGTCTCTACGGTGCCTCAATCTGTACTAAAAAGTTTACACCCTACCCTTAAAATATACAGTAGTCTAATGTGAATTTACCACATAAGGAATGCATTCAACCTAACATAGAAGATAAGTATACTTCTCACCTTTACATGAGAAAGAGAAATAAATATATTTAGAAAAAAAAGAAAGATCTCAGGGATATTAGTTTCTTGAGGCTGCTGTAACAAATTATCAGAAACTTGGTGGTATAAAACAACAGAAATTTACTACCTCATAATTAGTTGTAGAGGCCAGAAGTCCAAGATCAAGGTGTTGTAAAATTCCAGGAAGATGTCAGAATGGTAAGCAGCCAAGAAAGAATTTCTCTGAGATTTGGTGTCCAGACACTGTAATATAGCAATATGAGGAAGAGAAGGAGGAAGGAATTGGGTCCCCTGAACCCAGAGTGGATCTGAAGTAAAAATTGAAGTCCTTGGGGAGAGAGAAGAAAGGCACTCCAATGAAGAAGAAATAGGTGGTGGGTGGTGCCTTCTCCCTGAGCATGGAAGGAGTTGCCTGAAGAAGAAGGTAGGTAAGTGGGCTTCTCTTCAGCCCTAACCTGGTGCTATTTCTTCCACACACTCAGGCATTCAAAGTGTTTTTTCCTACGCCCTGGAAAGGAACAGAAAAGAATTGGGAGGAATGACCTTTGTAGGAGGGAGTCTTCATAGTGTCATTCCAGAGAGCATTACCAGTGAACCTCCTGCATGCAAATCTTGGGCCTCATTGTGGTTATTTGGGGAAACTGACTTGTGATACTAGGAGTGATCCTCGAAAAAAGACTAAACTGAGATTTTGGAGCTGTATTACCCACTGGCTAGCTGGCAATGAGCCCCTAGAGGGCTGTAGTCATTCAGTGGTTGATATTTTCCCCAGAGGTGAATTGGGCTGGGATACTGAAGGAAAGATATCAGTTGGCTGGAGTAATATCTCAGATACTTAAGAGCTCTAAGAGAAATAGTTATTATAAAGACTTGGATGGGTATGTCTAGGGACTTTAACGCATTAGGAAAGATAGTGAGATACTGAGGATGAGTAATAATCAATGTAAGGCAAAATGTGAAAGCAAGGAGGCCCACTTGGCAGTACATACAGAAGCTTTATATCTACATAGGAGAAAAGGCTTGGGCTTGAGCCCAAGACTTAATTATAAGGATAGAAGTGCTCCAGGGAACACTGAATTCTTAACCCTGACAGGTGCATCACATTAAGTTCAGGTTCCTGATTGATTCACTTGAAATTGTGAATCCTAAGCTTTCCCTGAATTTTCCAGCCAGCAGTACTAGCTTACTCTCCCCTGTTAAAAGTCAGAGGGTCCCTCTTGTTTGAAGGGGTGTCTTTCTGCAAGGAAACACATGCCCTTTTGAGATTCATACCCACCTCCTTGCCATCAGGCATATACAGTGTACAGTCACATCATAAACCAACACGGGTGCTGGATAAAATACGTGAAAATATCAAATCAAGCAAGAGAGAGAAATAGCTTCTATTCTCTTGGGATGGACAGCTGCATATACATTTATGGCCTTGTTCCAGGACTCTCTTAATCCTCCTGGCCTTTGTGTGTTAGACTGGAGCATCTGGACACTCCACATGTCACACTGGTCCATTGTATTCATGATATCATATTAAATGGACTGGATTAAAAGAGGTGACACTTCTATTGTGGAGAATGGTGGAAATCTATCAGGGTGCCACCACATTATTGAAGGAGTCCAGTGGCCTAAGGCAAGGATTGACAAAATCTATTCCACCAATTGTTTTTGTAAAATTGTACTGGAACATTTTGCCTGTGTGCAGTCTATGGTTGCTGTTGTGTTATTTTTATAATGGCAGAGTTGAGTAGTTGCAAAAGAG